CGCCCCGAACACGCCCCCCACCCGCCCTGGCCTCGGCTCCAGCCCCTCCCACCCCTCCCCCACCCACACGCTCGCTTCCGGGCTGTCTGTTCCTCAAAGCGCAAAGCGCCGTTAACTTGTCTATTTTTAGCCTCTTTCTGGTGCCACGCCTGTAGCTAATCTAAATATTTCCTTCCCTCTGGTAGAATTAATTGGAAAAGTCAGAATCTCTCTCTGTTTTCTAATCTGTGACTGGAAAGAGCCTTATTTTTAAAATTCTAAAATTCTATGTTTTCCTCAGAAGCGGCTTCTCCATAGTTGCTCAAGTGACTTGTCCAGGAAAATCGTTTAGTTCGTAGGCATGGGACCAAGTCTCTGAGGAAAAACTTCTTCTAATCAGCTCAATAGAACATAAAAACATTTCTATTTCACAATAAAACGTGTCTGAGAGGAAGAGGCACTGGTACCTAACTGAATATTTGAGGGGAAAGTGTGCGAAAATGATCTGAATACTTACTCTTTAAAACTTGTAAATCGTAGTTTTCATAGGCGCTGGGTGTGTGTGTGTGGGGGGGTCCTCAGTATAATGGATAAAATTACTTGGCGATATAAATTACACACTTGAACGACTTCATTTAGTATAAGCATAAATAATGCAGTTCTGACTCATACCTAGTCACAAATTTTTAAATGCTAGTCCTTCTTTTTTTCTCTGCTTTGAGAGTCATTTATGATTTCCAGTCAATTCCAATTCTTGTAAATTTAATGCTCTCAAAGGAGAAATTATTTTCAAATGTTCAATTACTGTTATTACAAACATATTTATTAAGAAACATGCCATTACTGCTCAGTAATCAAAACCTTAATCCCCTTGGTTGTTTCGAAGTTGGCACCTTTTATGTTCCTAAAAATGTTAAAGAACTTCAATAACATGTATGAGGAATCCTGGTTTCCAAACCCAGGGGAGCATAGGTGGCGATGTGTGACCTTTAGGTGACAGACGTGTTCAGCCTCACGTCTTGTAAGCACTCTGAGACAGATTGTGGTCCAGTTCCAGACACTTGCTACTGCTTTAGCTCGTATTAACAAATACCTCCAGAGAAACATTTCCTTAATCTGTGGGAATCCTTGCAGCATGAGCATTTCATCAGCACCGTGAACGTGTGGCAGCGGTTCAGATTACTCTTCAGTGAGTTCTCAAAGTGCTGCCTATGTTCCTATGCCTTCTTTTCTTTTTATTGTTTTAGATGTTTGCCATGCGGTGGGTGCAGGTGCGCTCACCAGAGAGACAGGGAGAGGGAAAGTGAGAAATCATCCTTCCCCAGGATGGCCAAGCATCCTTTTTTCTCCATGCTCTGCCTGGGGTTTGGGGTTCACATGCACATGCACCCAGCAGGTTTCTCAAGCCATGGGATCTGGGGCTCAAGCTGCTGAGTTGGTCATGTGGTGTGCGGTGCCTTAACTGCAGTGCCACCAGCCAGCCCCCTTGTTCAATGCTTCTTTAATCTCGAGTTTTCCACAAATCTGCATTCTGTTCTAATGGTATCTGCTCTGCTTGTGATCAGCCTATGAGGATTAACCTTCCTAGCTAAGGTGATGTACTGAATGTGATATTAGCACATTTTTTTATCTGTAATCACTATATTTTTTTTGAGAGAGAGAGAGAGAGATTTTTGCTATTGGGAACATAGAGAGGTTTTTCGTTTTTGTGCTCACTAGAGAGAGAGAAAAATGAACACAAACCCCCCCCCTCAGGGGGATGGCCATGCCACAATCCCTTCTCCTCTCAGTCTTTTGGGCACACGTACACATGCACCCAGTGTTAGTTTCAAGCTGCCGTGTCAGGGATTCAAACTGCAGTCAACCACGTGGGAATCCAGTGCCTTAACCACTTATACCACCTGCTAGCTCCAAGAATACACTATTTTTATTTATTTAATTTTTTTTTTAGAGAGATTTTTGCCACAGGGAGTGTGCACTAGCCAGAGAGACAGAGAACAAGAAATCACCCCCAGGGGGATGGCCATGCTGCAGTCCCTTCTCCTCCATTTTCCCCCCAGGATTTTGGGCACGCACACAAGCCCAGCCTGAGTTTTAAGCCCTTGGGTCCAGGACTCAAACCACATTTGACTAATGGAAGTTCAGCGTTCTAGCCATTACGTCATCTGTGGATCCCATGAATACACTCTTTTTTAAGAGCTCTGTCACAGGACCAGCAGGCAGTGTGGTGGCTAAGGTGCTGAACTCCCACATGGCCGACTTTGGGTTTGAGTTCCAGACCTGGCAGCTTGCTTTTTCACTTTCCCTCTCTCTCTTTGTCTCTCTCTGGTCAGATTTTTTTAAAAATGAATAAAATTAAATAATTATTAAAAAGATCTCTGTCACACAGTTACTTAACAGCTATGTTTAAAGCACTAGAGTTCAAATAAATCCCACAAGTAATTGCTTTAATTCGATAATTGAGAATGTCCAAGACACTGTTATATTACAGAAATGTATACAGGTTTTTTCATCTCTATTCTGAAGAAATCTGTAGTGATGAAGACCAAGAATTAAATCATTTCTTGCTTACTTACTTATACATTAAGAACCATTTCTAGTTCAAACAATGCCTACCGAAGCTATTTATGGACCTTATCTTTTATTTGTTTAAATACTACCTTGAAAATTGACTAGTGATAAGCAAAAAATGCAAAAAGTTGTATCTTCAGCTCATCCTAATCAAAATAAAAATGATATTCAGATCTAACCCACACTAAAACACCCATTTTGAATGTCACCTTTTTGCTACGTCTCTTTACCTGCCCTTCCTTTAGAAACTTAGCTTTCTTTTAGGGACAGCTCCCACCTGACTCCTTTTAATGTGAGATCTTATTACAGTTCAAACCTGACTGAATTAAAAAATGACTGAGCTCAGGATATAAACTCCATATTGAAGACACAGCATGAGTTCCTTTTAGAATTAAGTCAGAAATTCTCTCTGTACCTCGGGACGCCTAATGCCCTATGTCCTTAGCAGACGCGGTCACGACCTCACAACTGGGCCCTGCTGTCACTTCTTCAGCCTCACCTGCATTTCACTTGGCCCTCTGGCTGCCTCTCCCTGGATGCTTCTGTTCTTGCTGTTCTGTGCTTGCTCTCGGTGCCCTTCTCCTTGCCAGCTGGCATAACTCTTCAGACTTAAAGGTCCCTCCCAGAAAAGCTGCCTCACTGTGCAAGCTTCTCCCACCTCCCTGCCCTAATTCCTGGGCAGAGGCACGTGCAGCCCCTCTGCACTCCTAGGGCACTCCGTTTCTACAGGCAGGGCACTCAGGGCTCTCCACCGGGTTTGTTGTGTTGTTCAGATGCGTCTCCACTAGATCTCTGTTCATTCTGATATTCCAGGACGCCCACTGAGTACCTCAGTTAATGAGAAAAAAATGAAATGACACTTGCTGTCAACATACATTTGCCTATCAGATAGATTGTGTGGTATCTTCAAAGTGTTTTAAGTTTTGTGTTTTTGCTTCCTTTTGCTTTGGTTTTATATGTGAAAGTGGACACTTACTTTTATAATCATGTTAAAATGTGAACATTATGATGAGCTATCCCATCATAAGAGCCAAAAATTGACCATAAATATTACTGGTTTTAATATCACTTAAGTTTCATGGCAGAACTAGCAATGTAACATAGCGGTTTTTCTCTTTTATTTCTTTTAACAAATAGTAATCATTGTGTTACTTGCTTCAGAACTTCATTTGATCCTTTGATACTTACAGGAAAAAAAAAAAAAACTTATGGTGAATGTAAAGTTCCTTATAGTTTTGCCTCAAACTATTTTCCAGCTTTCCTGTCTACTTCTACAACACAACTTGTCTTTCTAAAGCTCTGAAATTATCATCTCTTAAATATATATATCCTTCCACAAATTTAGCCTTGGGCACATGCTGGTTAGCTTGCCTAAAGTGCAGTGACAGGTCTTATTTCAAGTCTTCTGCAGTGATTCCAGAGTTTACAACCACCTTGTGTCTTTAGACACCTCCAGTTTTATCTGCTGCCTTCTTTTTTTTCTCTTCTAAATCTTATCTCATTAATGTACTATTATATTTTCTGCATTCTTAACAAGTTAGAAATAACCTTATCTAAGTATTGAAAAACCAGGTGGGAATGCTCAGCTATTTACAGCATTTGATGTTATAATAAAATTCAGTCTCAATTAAAAGACTCACTGAAATAAAAGCAAGAGTTTGTATTGTACTGGAATTCATGCAATTATAAATAACACCTGTTTTTAAAATAATTGTGAGTTCTTTTCAATTAACCTTTATGAAAACCTTTTCAAGATTTGGGGGTGTTAAAATGTCTTTTTTAAAATTACGCAAACTTTTAATTAAATTGCTTTTTGCTGAGATTGTTTACTTCATTTTGGTTATTGTGCAATATTCATCAGGCCATTGCGAATGTTGCATCTCTTTTACTTTAAAAGTTTAAGGGATTACATATATTTATATTATTGATAGGTGACAAATACATTTAAGGTAAAACTATGCTGAATATAATTTTTTTAATCCTGAAATTAATACACTGATTAGATGGATAGGGTCTGGAATCAAACTCAGTTTATAGTCCAGTTTTTTTAGGTTGATAATATAAGCAAAATATTTAGCCTTTCTGAGACATAGATCCCTGTAAATGGGAATTATAAAGTACAACTTAACTCATAGGATAGCTTAGTTATTTGTGACAAACCTTAAAAGTTAGGGGAAAAATTGTCCTTCAACAGAATTATGTGATAACATATTGCAGTGGGCACTAACTGCCTTTCCCCATCCCCTGATGTTTAATCTGAATTAAATGAAACACACTATGTAAGAGTGTTGGA